ATGTTATCACAAAAAATTAAATGTTAAACACAACATATATTGTGATAATATACACATAGGAACCATATAAGGGGTACATTTACCAGGGTTTCAATTACAGAACTTTTACAATTAAAAAAATTAATTTCATCAATGTGTGAAAATCATTTTTATAATGGTCAACAAAGAAATAGGTAAAAATTTCCTTGTCAATACATTGGTCAAAAGGAGTTTTTTATGATACATTTTTCCCAAGAAATAATTATACTCTGTATAATGTATACTTACCAACACAGTATAAATCATTATCACAAAAATATTACCTTTGTCATGTTGTTCCTTCTCTTGTCTCAGTGCTAATATTGTATTAGGATCATCATTTATAGTTTCCAAGAAAAGAGAAGCTTTCTCATCATTACTAGATGAATCATTCCTTATCTTCTGTAGAGTAGGAAGGGACACTTCTTCCACTGACAGTATAAACTCTAACAATTGAAGTGACTCCAACATTGAGTAAACATAACTACTAGGAATCTTTCCCTCATCACCAGACACCAAGGATCTTCCTTTCCAATAAAAACTATCAGACTTGTCATATATCTCCAGCTGCTCTCCCTCACTGAATGAAAGATGACCACTCCATATTCCATGATAGTCAATACATGCTGTGTAAATAGATTCTGCTGTTGGTGTATCCAGTGATTGTGTACACTGGTCCTTCTCTATACAATATATCAATCAATTAATGATTTAATTACTATAACATATCACATACTCTCAATCTTTGCCTTTTGAGTCATCAGCAGTTGTACACTAGTTATTGATATTTTTTCTTGTAGTAGCTCAATCTCTTTCTTATACTCCACTAATGCCTCCTCTCTTCCTGTGATGAGCTTTCGGAAACACTGAGCCTCTGATTCTTTTGATTTGAATATTTCATTTATCAACTTCCCTTCAGTTAGTAGCTTCACTTTTAGTTTAGACTCTACAGTAATGACACAACAAATATTTTAATTTATAAGATAATTGTACTGAATGATAAACTGCACATTACTTTAATACATGCTTTAAGTTAGCATTATACCTGGTGTCTGTAGTGTCCTTGTAATATACTCTACACAAGTAAAAATACATTAATTAAATATCTTCATCATTCACTAACTATTATACCTTTTCTTTTTTTGATGATAATCAGTTTTTTATCTTGTTCAAATATTGATCCTATACCATTAGTATATGTAACATCAGTAATTGAGTAATATACCAACTCACATACCTTCTTTGTAATCAAGTAAAGTTATCAGTTCACATTCATCTCCATCAGCTAGTTTAATTTCCTCTGCAAGACACTCATTGTTCATCACCTATAATCAGTACACAATATTAAACAAGGTCTCATACAGTTACAGTATCTTATACTTTGTATCTGATCCTTTTATCATAGACAGTGTAGTGGCCAATGGTTAGTCTAATTAAACTGAATCCCTTCATCAAGACAGTTAGGTTGTAATGTACTTCCAAAAAAAGAGCAGCTAGTAAATGATGTGGACCATAACAGATGACAATGATAGAGTTCCCACGATGAATGCTTTGTACAATAATTCTCTTGTTTAATTCTTTAAATGCTTCCTCCAAGAGACTACGTATGTCATCAAGTGAGTGCTCGTCTGGTTCCCATCCTAAAGTAAACTGAATTGTATCGTAGTTGTCAAGATGATCAGGCTTATTTTGACTAAGGAAATAC